TATATATATTTATGCGACTGTTATTTTCTCAGCTTACTCAAAAGTTTAATTTTGTTTTTTTTTTTTTTATGCTGGTAATTTCAATGTAGTTACATCTACCCCACTGAGCATCATTATTACAATTATTTTTGAAGCGGCTAAGAGCCAAATTTCGCGTGGCCAAGAGCACGGCCCGTTCGCCTGTTTGTGGGGCAGCGGCGGGACGCAGCTGTTTGGATTTCAGTGGAGCTGATGGGCAGGCGCGGATATGCCTAAGCATTGGCATTACGTGCATGCAATTTTGGTGTGGCACAGCACGGTGCGGCACCGGCTGGAATGCCAGCACCGCCCACTCTCGTTGAATGGACACTTGCTGCACTTGTGGCCGGGCCTGGACGGCCTGGACACCATCGCTGATACAGCGGACGCGGCTGCGGCAGCGGCAGCGCGTTTGTTTGAATGGTGGAAAACTTGTGTTGCGGAGATAGCAACAAAAGCTGCCACGATTGCAGAGTTTGTTTGGGCTCAAATGCGGCAAAAAAAAAAAAAAAAAAAAAAAGAGAAAAGAGAAAAAAGCCCCAAAGCCGAAAAGTGTAAAACGCAATGCCCGAGAAGACTTGGCCAAGCAACCAGGAAGCCAGCGAACATGGCCGTAAAAAAAAGGAGACGACCATTGCCCAAAAACAATGCAACGACCTCTGCAACGAGCACAGCAAGTATGTGTGCATTCTCTCCCTCTCTTTCTCTCTCTCTTTCTCTCTCTCTCTCTTTCGATGCAGTTTCTTCTTCTTGTCGATACTCTCTGCTTGTTTGTGCTGCTTCTTCTTCGTATGAAACCAATAATTTTGATTCAGTGGGCAATTTAACCCTTTAGCATGTTGTCCAAATGAAAGGAGTTGAAGCTTTAAATTAAATCGCCGTACGGGCCTCAACTTGAGCTCTGGCCCTGGCCCTATGCCTCCTGCCGGCCCAGCTCAGTCGGGCTCCTCAACCAAAGCACAAAAAAAAAAACCCGTCCACAGCCGAGCAGCCAGTGCTCGACAGAGATTTATTTGATGAGCAACATTTCAGTAAAATAAGAAGAAGAAAAAACAAAAGCTTTGTAAGGCCCTGGGTATTTGGTGATTATGGAGTTTATAGCACTTGTAACGGCATTTCGCTTAAGTTTTCGATTTTGAATTAGCCCAGAGGCAACGACACACAAACAGTTTGATTATCCAAATTATATGCTTAGATAAACAACTGCAATGACCTGACGACTTGCAGACATTGGCAAATTATTTGACCCCAAAGTATGAGGCTAAATTATCAAATCAAAATGTGCTTGATGTGGCCAAGAACTCTGATTACCAATAACGAATGTTGTTAACTGATTTTTGAATTCACTTACATAACGTTTAGATAAATGCTAATCGAAATGGAGAAAACAAACAGAGAGAAGGGGTTGAGGTGAAATTAGAATTAGAATGTAAATAATAAGATAATGAAGATTGAGTCTTTAACAGATATTTAATCTTGAAATAAATACTATTTGGAATCGGCAAAGCAATATTTGGAACTTTCAGAATAATTTATATTTGTCGAGTAAATTAATGAAAAGCACACAAATAAAATTTTTTCTATAATTCTGACTAGATTTGTCAACTATGAGCAATATATATTATTATACTTATATTATTATCTTCGATCTTTGATCTGAACTCTTCAATTTTTAATAGAACACCCATCTTGAAGCTACATTTTAAGTAAAGCTCAAACTCAATCTCGCTCAAATACATGTACTAAATATAAATTCAATTCTTATCTCAGTTAACTACAGTAACTAAACTCAATTATTATCTCAATTATTATCTCGCTGTTCGATAGGAGAGTTTCCATCTTCGAGCCTCAATGAATTGAACGGGTGTTGGTCGCACTACCGGCGCCTGTTGTTTATTTTCTTCGATCACTTAACGGCAAATTAAAAATTCGGAAATAATAAAAGCTATAAATTATACGAGTTTGGAAATTATTTACCAACGAGTCGAGTCGACAAGCGGTTCAATTGGTGTTAATTAAATCCATGAATAATGAAAACTCAAACCGTATTTGCGGGCTGGCCATCTACACATATATACAATATTTATATGTATATACATTTATGTATATATTTATTTTTATATAGAGAGTGGATACAATTATTGTTGTCTTAGATTGGCGCTGGTCGCTTGGCTGATTGTCGCCTCGTATGAAGGCCATAAATTATGCCAGCGACATTTTTGAGACGAGGGAGCGAACAAGACTGAGCGAGTTTCCTTTGTCTCGGCGTCTGCGCGGCCTTTAGGCATTTTCTTTCCACTGCATTGCATTGCCTGCCTTTGTCTAAACAGTTTTGATATGCCCACGAAACGGGAGTGAAATGCTCGCATGAAACTCTTAAACCGCAGAACGAATTTCCTTTTACCGAAAACGTTGAGTCGTCGTCTTGGGCACAGGTAAATGCACGAAGAAGCGGCTGAAGGTACATAAGGTAAATAAACAGCAATTGAGTTGCACATGCGCAGCTCTTGGAGGGATTTCCCCCCTCGCTCTCTTCCAGGACAAGCCCGATGTCACCATAAATCAATTTGTGGTCGATGCGACAGCTGAAAAGGGTTTCTTGACTTGGCAACTTTTCATAAAAAACTCAAACACAATGGCAGAAGTCTTAGGTAAATGATCCTATAACTAGGGTTGCTCCCCATAATTAAGATGATTAACTTTTGCATAATCGATATTTAATAGGGAGAAACACAAGGCAGAGAGGCATGAAAAGATGCTGCCTTAAAGTCCCTTTTGTAATAAAAATTAAATTCTATAATATAGTGTTAAATATATTGAAGGAAATTAAACATTGTATAGGAGTATAGGAGTATATTAGCAGTATGTCGATATTTTATCAACTTATCTAAAAATTGCTTTCAATAATCATAGATAATAAGACTGAAGAATGATTCAGATCATCTTCATATATATATATAAATATATATTTCTGTGGAGCTCTTTATTTTTGCCAAATACACACTCCGAATTGAGCTAATAATCAATAATAAGCCTTTTAGTAAGCAAGTTATCTTCAAGTTATCTCAGATCTCTGCATTTGTTATAAATGATCTGAAAAAATCTTATCTAAAAACCCTAAGCTATGGCTGTCAAACACGTTTTCTTTCTCTCCGAGTCTCAAGTCTATACGAGTTATTGGTCTGTCATCCATTTCTAAGCACTGGGCTGTTCATCATCTTCAACTGGCGCAGTCATATGCCAGCCATCTCTTAATTATGAAATGAAAACAAAACCCTAAGCAGTTACATATACATGTTTCTTTTACAAATGTCGTCGTGGACTTCGTCGTCGTCGTCGTCGTCGTCGTCGTCACCATTACAGATTTTGAGCGCGGCTGGTTTGTTTGTTTGTAGCCGAGGTACTGGGGTCTCTGGTCATAAATCATAATTTTTAATATTTGTTGTCAACATGGGCGTAGCTCGTGTGTATGTAAACATGAAAGGGACCCACGAGACGAGACGAGACCAGACGAGACGAGGTCGCACTCGCACAATTCTAAAAGGTATTTGCGCACGCGCAGTCACACTCATTGGCTCTGTTTCCCTCTCGCTCTCTCCCTCTCTCTCTCTCTCTCTCTGCGTTTTTTTTTTCATTTTCATTCTCTAGAGCAACAATGGGCCAAAAAGGAACGACAAACGCACACGCATGCAAGTGGGCCCATTAAAAACTCATAAAAATTTGTAAGCACCTCATAAAAGTAGTCATAAATATTATTATTTGCTCTTCTCTCTCTCGCACATCTGTCTCTCTCTCTCTTTCTTTCGCTCGCTGCTGTTGCTACAGTTTGTCGTCTGAACCCTCGTCTGTGTTTTGTTTGCGGTTGTTTGTGGCTCTCATAATTTTTATGAGTTTTTGATTTGTTTCTCCAGTCTTCGATCCTCACTGCAAGCGGCCATTGTTGACCTTTTGACACGTACTCAAAAACAGTTGTCGCCTCGCTCAGATTTTGCGGTTGCGCCTTTTGTGTCCCTACAATCTGTGTTTTACACATCGCTTACGATCGGATATGTCACAGCTATATCTATAACAATGTCCTCTAAATGAGACCAAGGACAATGCGCATTGTGCTAAATAATTTGGTTAGCTTCTGGCTGACCTCAATTTTTTTTTATGACTTTTCAGTACTCAAGGTAATTGTGAGACAAGTAAAAAGAATTTAATTACGGTATTAGAAAATTGGTTAAAGAAGAGCTTCAACAACCAATATTATATTTAAAATATTGCTTGCATTTAATTTAAAAATTATAGGAAGAGTTAATTTATGTTG